GAGAGGGAGAAGAAAACAAACAAACAATTAAATAAACAAATTAATTAATTAATTAATTAATTAACAAATTAATTAATTAATTAATTAATTAACATGCTTAAACGCACGGATACAGATAGAAGTGAAGGTGTACTTGTAGTTTTTTATATCTCTCTTATGGTGAAGATATCAAAAGTAATAATCAGCAGCTTCTTCTTCTTTACTTCTTTTTGCGTGCATGCATTATATTTGTTTGATGATATATGCACCCTGTTTATGCGTATATATGTACATATATATATATGCATTATATAGTATTAGGTATATATATACATATATATAAAATATATATATATATACCTAATACATATACATATTCATATACACATCCATACATATATACATATATACATATGAACATATATATATATATATACTTATTTATTTATTTATTTATTTAATTTATATATTTATATATTTATATATTTATTTATTTTGCGTTAATGCTCAGATATTGGCTTTTCCTACCTTACAATTTAAGCAGCAAGAAGAGAAGGACGCCGCGACGATGTGTTTAATGTATAAAAAATATAATTTTAACTTCGATTTGTTTGCGATTACCGAAGTTAACGGCAAAAACTCTCATCCTATCTTTCAATACTGCAAATATCATTCAGAGGAGGTCAGTCTTATTATTTTATTATTAATTTATTATTATTATTTATTATTATTATTATTATTTTATTATTATTAATTTATTATTATTATTATCATTATTATTTATTGTTAGTATTATTAGTATTATTATTATCTACTATTATTATTGTTATTATTGTTATTATTATTGTTATTATTATTATTGTTATTGTTGTTATTGTTATTATTGTTGTTACTGTTATTCTTAAGTATTGTTATTATGCTGTTTAGTAGGGCTTTTAGTCAGGGTTTATTATTATTATTATTAAATATTGTTTTTATGTTGTTTATTAGGATTTATTATTATTTCATCATAATTATAATTATAATTATAATTTATTGTTATTATTATGTTGTTTATTATAATTTATTATTGAGGTTTATTATAAGGATTTATAATTTATGTTTTTATCCGATTTCTTCACCAGCGTGTATTCCAACGACAATAAAACAAAACAAAACAAAATAAAATAAAATAAAATAAAGTTAATTTAAGTTAATCTAAATTAATACGTTATTATGTGTTGATTTGCAGTTATATAACAAAGGAAGTCTACAACCTATAGGCTGGAACTTCGGGAAGTTTCTTTTAGATAGAGACGCAAAAGTTGTCAAGTACTTTGGGCCGCGCACTTCACCGCAAATGTTACAACAATATATCGAAGCTATTTTAAAAGGCGAACTCAAAGGGAGAAAAAGAAATGCACAAGGGGTTTTAGAGTAATATATATATATATGTATATTGATGTATATATGTATGTATGTATAGGTATATATACATACATATATATATATATATATATATGTATGTATGTATGTATATATATGCATGCATATGTAAAGCAGGGATTGAGCTTCTGCTGCTGCTGCTGATGATGATGATGATGATGATGATGATTATGATGATTATGATGATGATGCAGTGGTGGGGGCGGGTAGGGTTCGTGCTGCTGTTTGATGCACAGCAGCAGCAGCAGCAGCAGCAGCAGAAATGGCAGCAGCAGAAGCGGTACCAGTAACAATTTCATTCAGAGATGTTTTGTACAGATAGTGGTTGCTGCTGTAGCAGCAGCAGCTGCAGCTGCTGCAGCAGCTGCAGCAACAGCAGCAGCAGCGGCAGCAGCCGCAGCAGCAGCGGCAGCAGCCGCAGCAGCAGCTGAGTTCCTTTTATTTCCCAACAGTTTTTTCTATCATTCTTTCACTGTACAGACAGCTCCCTGCGTTTTATATTTGTTTTATATTTCTTTTATATTTATCTTGTTTTACTCTTCTTCGGTCTTGACCCCAAGGCTGTCGCAGGGATGGCGTTGGGGTTTCGATTTATCAAAACCCTTCTAGTGAGGTTTAGGGTTTAGGGTTTAGTGTTTAGGGTTGTTATTTGTAGGGGGTGTAGGGGTACTCTCATAGGCCTTCTGTATTCGATGCTGTGTTATCTTTATCTTATTTTTTTACTTAGGTTTATTTTTTTGTCTCGCTGTTTATTTACTTTTTATTTATCTATTTATTTACTTCGTTTTTATTACTTTAACGCTGACGCACATCAGACAACGGGTCTTTCTTGCTGCTAGCAGCAGCAACAGCAGCAGCAGCAGCAGCGGCTACGGGTGCTGCTGCTGCTGAGGCACAAACATATGCAAAGCTGTTCTGCTGCTGCTGCTGCAGCAGCAGCAGCAGAAACACCTGTTGCTGCTGCTGCTGTGAGCATAAGTTGCTGCTACGGCGAATTCCCGCAGCAGGGGCAGCTGCAGCAGCATCAGCAGCATCAACATCATCATCAGCAGCAGCAGCAACTGCTGCTGCTGCTGCTGCTGCACGATCATACATTGTCCCTCCATATATCATCAGCTGCATGTACACTAAGAGAAGGCAAAGCGCCTGCAAGGATTGAAAGAGTATAAACCGAATCAAAGGCAAGAGAGCCCCACTCCCCTACATTTGCTGCTTCTTCTTCCTTGTTTTTATTAGTCGATAAAACAAATAAATGATATGCAGAGTCCTTCTGTGCAATTGCCAGATCTGCAGACACAACACACACAATATATACACCCCACAGCACAACCTGCATATACACCCCAACTTGCATGCATATACACCTCAATTTGCATGCACATATACACCTCAACTTGCATGCATATACACCCCACACCCTGCATAAAGAAACCTGACCGCATGCATACACGCATGCATGCAGTGAGAGGCAGCTATTCGAAAGATATATCTGATGGGTGCTGCACTGCATGCAGCGAGAAGCTGTAAAAGCAAAATAATAATTATATGATATATATAAACAATTATGTATTATATATATACACATAATTATATATATAATGTATGTTAATGATATATTATACATATAATAACTATATTATATATATATAAATATATATAGGTATATAAAGCCCTTACCCAGGACCCCGTGGGCATTGAGGAAGAGAGCAACGCGCTTCTTCCGATCGGATGGAGACAGACACCGCAGCGCAGCAGCAGCAGCAGCAGCAGAGCAGCAGCAGCAGCAGAAGCAGCAGCAGGACGCTGCCTATGCTGCTGCTGCTGGCTGTTCCCCTTCTCTTCCTCTTGTGGGGGCCCCTTACCCCGGGTGCTGCCAGCAGCCTCAGCACCCTGAGATGCTGCTGCTGCTGCTGCTGCTGCTGCTAGGGCTTCCATTGCATGCATCAGCTCCTTTTGCTGCTGCTCTAGCAAACGGTTATTAAACGAAGATATCCACCTGCATACAAATTTAAAGAAAAAGAAAAGTGAGCAAACCGTGCTGCATGCATCTAACAAACCCCAGGTGTACGCACATCTGCATGCATGCACAAATGCATGCATGCATACAGCATCAAACTAATAAGAAGAAAAGGCCTTAACAATACGCCACTAACAAACAAACACCACACAGTGTACAGACACCCTGCAACAAGACCCAAAGCCCCTTCAACGCATGCATGTATGCATGCATAAACCTATGCATAAATGCATGCATGCATGCATGCATGCATTGGTTGATTGATAGTATCTGTGTCTTTTGTTTAATATGCCTTTCCGTGTGTGTTTGTCTTTGTGTATATGCTAATGTTTGCAGTAATTGCATGTTGGGATGTACGTACACCCCAGCATCAAACATTAGATAGCATTTAACATATACTATATATATACATATATATATATATATGTATATATATGTCTATATATGTATGTACACCCGAGTGTATATTCAGACAAACCCGTAGATAGCGCGGTCAGTAAATAATTTGGCCTTAATAAATTGCTGCAGGGCCCAATGCGCAGTGAGGCCTCCCCAGTTAACAGTGGTGGGGCTTCCTGCTGCTGCTGCTGCTGCTGCTGCTGCTGTCTCCCCGCTGCTGGAAGCAGCAGCAGCAGCTGCTGCTGCTGCTTCTGCCTTGTGGCGCGCAGCAAGAAGCCCCCATGCAGCAAATAACAGCTGCAGCACCGCAGCTGTCTCTTCTTTTCTTCTGTCTCTTCCTAAGAAGAAGATGTCCAGACACCAGGTAGGTATTGACGGAGGTTTGTATAAACAAACAGAGTTAAAACATGCAGACAGCAGCAGCAGCAAAGAGACAGTAGAGCGAGTGTAGCAGCTGTGCATACGCAGCAGCAAATCACCCCCAGGCTGCAGCAGCAGCAAACCCTGAACAACCCCACCAATAAACACACACACAAATAAATAAATAAATAAATAAATAAATATAAACATAAAGATAAACATATGCATATTAATGAAATTAGGTTAAGATATAAATAAAACTAAACGCAAACTAAAGAACAGATGCATGCAAAAGCAAACAAACAGTCATAATAAATAATAATAAGCATGCAGACATAAATACAATAAATAAATATAAACAAACAAAAACATTTAATCATCAAACAAACAAATAACAAAATAACAAAAGCAATAAACAGCAAACGCACTAAGGAATGAACACACACACATATATATAATATATAATATATATATAATATATATAAAATATTTAATATAAATGTATTATATATATGTAATATATATTATCTATATTATATATAACGCGTATTATATACACATATATGTATATACATTTATATATCTATTTATATGTATATATGCATGTACTCTACATAATAAAAGCGACAAAGCAGCAAAAGGAGACAGACGAAAGATAAACGAGAGACAGTTATTATGTGAATATATATATATATATAAATCTAGTATACATATATAAATATAAATATATATGTATATATATGTAAACAGAAGAAAGATAAAGGAGACAGAAGAAAGATGAAGGAGACAGAAGAAAGATGAAGGAGACAGAAGAAAGATGAAGGAGACAGAAGAAAGATGAAGGAGACAGGAGAAAGATAAAGGAGACAGAAGAAAGATAAAGGAGACAGAAGAAAGATAAAGGAGACAGAAGAAAGATGAAGGAGACCCCACCTGAATGATTTGAGCGAGCAGCATTAAAATTGCCTCTATCTCTGCCTGCGCTATCTCTTCATGGATTGCTGCTTGTGCTTGCTGCTGCAGCTGTCTCTCTATATCTGTCTCTCTTTCTCTCTCTTCTGTTGTGCTGCTGCTGCTGCTATCGGCTGTTTTGCTGCTGGTGCTGCTGCTGTCTCCTTGCTGCTGTCTCCTTGTCTCTTCTGCTGCTCTTCGCCTCCACTGCTGCAGCCCTGTTATATCGAGAGACACCAAACGGGCCCCCCCTTCAGGCAGATGAGATGCCACCCGCTGCTGCACTTGCTGCACATACACCCCAAACCCTAAACCCTAAACCCTAAACCCTAAACCCGAATTCCAAAGCGCTAAACCGTAAACCGGAAACCCTAATCCTAAACCCTCTAAGCTTCACCCAAGCTCGCGCGGGTTGCAGCTATGCAGAACTCTAAACCCTAAACCCGAAACCCTAAACCCGAAACCACAAGCAGTAAAGCCTCCGCACTCAGTTAGCTGCACGGCGAAGCGACGTCGTTGAACCACAAACCCTCAACATACACCCCAACACCAAACCCTCAGCATACACCCCAAATCCAAACCCTCAGCATACACCCCAAATCCAAACCCTCAGCATACACCCCAAGTACGCACCCGTTTGATAAATTCAGGTGTCTCCCCATTTGCAAATGCTTTTAAAATGTCGATCTCTTCACAACCTAAGATGGGCCCTGCTTTTTCAGTGGCTGCTTCTAGTGCTTCTCGCGTAACTCGCTGCTGCTGCTGCTGCTGCAGGGGGGGGTTCAGCACTACAAAGCAGCTGCAGCCGAAGCGCCTCAGCATGAGTTGCATTGGGAGGGCCGTGGGGCTGCTGCAGCAGCAGCTGACCTCTACGCAGACGGGGTACTGTCTCCTACAGCGTTCGGGTGTCTCCGCAGCAGCAGCAGCTGCTGCTGCTGCTGCTGGTTCGAGGCTGCTGCTGCCGGATGCAGCGGCTCCAGGGGCTCTTGCGGAGGCCCTAGAAGGAGCAGCAGCAGCAGCAGATGGGTTCTGCAGCTGCAGCAGCGCGAACAGAAAATCGATGCTGCTGCTTGGCGGCAGCTGCCCAGGGTTAAGCCTCCTCCCTAAAGCAGCAGGAAGAGATTCTAGCAGCAAATAATCTGCTGTGGAGACTGCAGCAGCAGGCATCAGCACAGCAGCAACACAGCAGGAGCAGCAGAATGAAGCAGGACGAGGCAGCAAAACAGCAGCAGCAGAGTGCAGCAGCAAGAGACATACCCAACAAACGAAACAGCAATAAAGGCAAAAGCAACCCCACACAAACTCAAGACACAGCAGATGCAGCAGCAGAATCACACGCAGAAGCATCAGCAGCAACAACAACAATAGAGTAGGGACCACCCTGAGCAGCGCCAGTAGTGGGAGGAGGAGGAAGAGCAGCAGTAGCACGATCCGCAGCAGCAGCAGGATCCGCAGAAGCAGCAGCAGCAGGATCCGCAGAAGCAGCAGCAGCAGAAGTAGAAGCAGCAGCAGCAGCAGGATCCGCAGAAGCAGCAGCAGCAGAAGTAGAAGCAGCAGCAGCAGCAGCAGGATCCGCAGAAACAGCAGCAGCAGAAGTAGCAGCAGCAGCAGCAGCAGAAGTAGCAGCAGCAGCAGTAGCAGCAGCAGCAGTTTACAGGGGAGGAGGAAGGGGAGGCGGCGGCGGAGTTCGATGACTGCAGCCAACCGGCGGTCGTCAGCAAATCGACTGATTTGCAGTTTATAAGGAACTAAACAAAAACATACGCAAACATACTTTTAAAAATAAAAAGAAAACAACAGAAGCAAACAGATAAACAAACAAATAAACAAACAAATGAACAAACAAATAAACAAACAAATAAACAAAAAAGTCGGAAAAGAAACAAAAAAGAAACAAAAAAATAAACAGAGAAAAGACAAAAAATTGATTGCTCACAATACACTGCAACGCCTACAGCCACCTATACACCAGCAAAGACGCTCAAACCCGCAGCAGCAGCAGCAGTAGCAGAAGAAGAAGAAGCAGCAGAAGCAGCAGCAGCAGCAGAGGGAGAGGCCGTTCCGGTAGCTTCAGCGTCTCCCCCGTAGCTGCAGCAACAGCAGCAGCAGCAGCAGGTATTTACAGAGGAGGAGAGGATTAGGGTTTAGGGTTTAGGGTTTAGGGTTTGCAATAGACACCTAAAGGACGAAGAGGAGTTAGCCAGCAAGAAGGTCTTGCGTTATATTCTCCTCTTCTCAAGCCCTGCAGCAGCTCTTCTCTCCATGCAACAGCAGCAGCAGAAGGCACTAAGGCAACTCGCTGCTGCTGCTGCTGCTGCTGCTGCTGCTGCTGTTCGTTCCAGCCCTGCAGCGCACCAGCCGCGAAGGCGTTCAGGAAAGCAGCAACGTCCGGCGCACCTCGCTGCTGCTGCTGCTGCTGCTGCTGCTTCTCAGGGTCCTCCTCATAAAGACAGAGCCACATAGCAACTCCTTCTTTTGCCTTTAAACAACATAAAAAAGAAGAAAAGAGAGACAGAGATTGCATGCATGCAGGTTGGTGAGAATAGAGACAACGAAAAACAAAAATATAAAAAGCAGACAGCAGACGAGAGACGACTCAGGTGCTGCTGCTGCTGCTGCTGCAGCTGCAGCAGCACCTAAAGAAGCAGCAGCTGCTGCTGCTGCTTCAACAAACACGCACAACATAAGCAGAACCAGACTCTGCTGCTGCTGCGGCTGCTGCTGCTGTTTTGCAGCAAACAAACATAACGCTCTAGGAAAGAGACAATAATGGACGCCACGTACTGCTGTCTCCCCGTCTTCTCCTTCGTCTGCGCAGATGAACAAAACCCTAAACCCTAAACCCTAAACCCTGAGTTTCGACTAACCCACGAAGCCCCACAGCCTGGGCGTTGAGCTGAAGCCTAAACCCTAAACCCTAAACCCTAAACCCTAATTCCTCACCAGACAACGAAAAAAAGTCCCCAATGAAAGTCTTTGCAGGCGCCTCTCCATCGCGGCCGTTCTTGCCTGCTCCACACTCGGAAACCCTAAACCCTAAACCCTAAACCCTAGAAGCCAGCTGGGCGCCACTCCCAGGCGAGCTAAGGCAGCCCTAATGAAACGAACTCCACAACCAAAGCCCTCAGCTCTCCCGCAAACCCACAGGCCTATACTCCCCACCCCTAAACCCTAAACCCTAAACCCTAAACCCTTAACCGGAGTTCGCCTTACCTCTTTTCCTTTTTCTGCTGCTAAACCCTGCAGTGACAGCAGCGCCACACCAGCAGCAACTGCAACAGCATCAGTATCAAACGCACAGGAAGCAGCAGCAACAAGAGCAGCGGCAGCAGCAGCAACAACAGCAGCAGCAACAGCAGCAGCAACAGCAGCGCGTACGCTGAGGCGCCCCCTGAAGCTCACCGATTGTCTTCACCTCTTCAAATGGGGCGTACGTACACCGCAGCAGGGCCTCTATTCCCGCTTGTGGGGTTAGGAGACACAATGCTCTGCTGCAGCCGCCGTGCTGCAGCCACGCCTTCTCGCGCTGCTGCTGCAGCTGAGTGTACACCTCATGAAACCGAACCCTGTCCTCTAGCAACCCCTGCACCCTCTCCCTGTACAGCAGCAGATGCAGCAGCGCCGAAGTTGTTTGCACTTGCCACAGCAGGAGTAGCAGCAGCAGTTAGCAGCAATAGGACGCTAAGCAGCAGCAACAGAATCAGCAGCAGCGGGAACAGCAACAGCAGCAGCAGCAGGACGTACCTGCTGCCTCCTCGAGTGGAGTTGGTGAAGCCAAAGGTCTCCCAATCCCTAACGAATTCCTTATCGGGTACGAGGCGGTCCTCAAATCGAATAGGCCTGTCAAGCACCGCAAACCCTAAACCCTAAACCCTAAACCCTAAGCCCTAAACCCTTAACCCTAAACCGTAAAAGCCCCCAAAAGAGTGATCGTATCGTGTTGCTTGGCTTCCGATGAGGGTTGGGCTCGGAGCCTTGCGGGCTTGGAAGTAGACGAGGGTTTAGGGTCTAGGGATTAGGGTTTAGGGTTTAGGGTTTGGGGTTAGGTGGTAGTAGCACCTGAGGCCGTTGGATACGATGAAGTTTTCTGCTGTTTGTTCTTTTAACAAAGACAGCTGCCACAAGTCGTGCGAACTCATTGTCTTGAACCGTCTGCATGCATGCAGTCCCAAATCCCCCATGTGCAAGCATGCAGCCCTACCCTACACCCCACACCCCGCATGCATGCATGCATGCATGCATGCATGCATGCATGCATGCATGCGCATGCAGCATCACCGGCCTGTGAAGCTGAAGCCAATGGGGCTGGTAAGAGCAATTCACTAACTATCTGTGGGGCTGCTGCGTTTCTATTCGTCTATATATATATGCATATATATATTTACTTATTTATTTATTCGTAGGGTACACATATAATCTCCTTACGCTAAAGAAGCCTCAAGGTGCTCCGCCTGCAGCAGCGTGAAGTACTCCGCGCACTGTCGGCACTCGCTCAAGAATTCCTGCAGCAACGCCCCTTACATCCTAAACCCTAAACCCTAAACCCTAAACCCTAAACCCTAACGCTAAATCCTCTTCGGTATCCCTGGGGAATGGCCACAGGCACTGAGGCGGAGAAGGAAGAAAGAGACAAAATAAGAAGCATGCGAGAGGGAGGAGACAGAGACAGAGACTGAGACAGCAGAAAGAGACAGACATTATAAAGGGACAGAGGCAGAGACACCAGAAAGAGACAGAGACAGACAATAAAAAAGAAGACAATAAAGAAAGAGATAATAAAGCAAGGAGACAAGAAAGAAGACACCTAAGCAGACAGACACGAATGAACGGAGACAGCTAAAAGGAGACAGCTAAGAAAGGAGACATCTTACAAAGGAGACAGTTAAAAAAGAAGACAGTTAAGGAAGGAGACACTTTATCAAGGAGATATTTTAGAAAGGAGACACTTTATAAAGGAGACACTTAAGAAAGGAGGCACTGTAAAGGGGAGGCAGCTAAAAAAAGAGACAGCTAAGAAAGGAGACACTCTGTAGAGGAGACAGCCAAGAAAGGAGACACTTCAGAAAGGAGACAGTTGGCAGCACCCCCCACATCGGAAATCCATTCTCTAGGGATGATGGCTTTATCAGGGGCGAAGCTGTCTACGGCATTAGACAGCGCCCGCAGCAGCGGGGATCGGATCCCACGAAACCCCACACCCAACAGGTACAGCTCGCTGTTGCCTGAGCGGCTCATCAAAGGCTTCACAACTGCCACCTGCAGCAACCCCACAGCAGCAGATACACCCCAGTTAGCAGCAGCAGCAACGGAAGCAAAGCCAGCAACAGCAGAAAAAGCAATGGCAGCGACAGCAGCAGTAACGTAGCAGCAGCAGCAAGTGCAGCAGCAGCAGCAAGTGCAGCAGCAGCAGCAGCAGCAGCGTTGGATTATTACCCGTGAGAAGCACATGCTGAGGATTGCAAGCACAGAGACAGAGTGGTGAGAGTGAAGAGAATATGCCTTTATAACTGCAGAGCCCTGAAGCTGCAGCAGCCCCAAAGCAGCAACCAAACCCGCATACACCAGAGGAGACACCAACTCCTCTTGTCTAGCGGGGTCGTGCTGCACATCAAACGAACCGTCAGACGTCACCAAGTCCGCCTGCAACAAACACGCAAACCCTAAACCCTAAACCCTAAACCCTTAACAATAAACCCTAAACCGCAAAAACCCTTGACCCTAAAACCCTAAGCCCCAAAAACTCAACCGAAAAACCCTAGAGCCCAAAACCCTTCAACCCTACAACCCTAAACCCCAACCACTAAAACCCTAACCCCTAACCCCTAAAACCCTAAACATCTAAAACCCTAGACCCTAGAGCTTCAAGCTTGAAGCCTGAAGAAGGGCTTCGGGCTCTCCCAGCCCCACACAGCCCATAGAAAGAAACGCCCTAAACCCGAGGGTAAACCCCTAAACCCCTGGAAACGCAACCCTAAACCCTAAACCCTAAACCCTAAACCCTACGTACCAGTCCGAAAGGGGGTATTCCTTGTTGTATGGGTCTAGTGATTTGTTTCCAAAGATATTCAATGCTTTCTTTGCTGCATAGATTGCCGCTACCGTCGGGGCTGGTAATCCAGCGGCGTTCGGTGTGTCTGTACACCTCATCATCGTCTAACGCTTTTAAGGGATTGCAACCCTCAAAGTACGGATTCAGAGATGCAGCTCGCCAAGAGAAAAACACAGACCCTAAATGCATGCACACACGCATGCATGTATGAGGGTGAATACATGGCCCTACATGCATGCATGCATGCATGCGTGCATGCATGCAGCCCCAAAAGAAACAGCAGCCAGATAGAGATAAAGGTCACGAGTAGCGCAGCAAGCAACACGAAACGAACAACTAGATGCAGGACCCTGAAAGCTGCAGCACCTTGCTGCACACACACAGCAGCAGCAGCAACACAAGCAGCAAAACACGCAGCACCACCAGCAGCAAAACCAACACACGCAGCAGTAGCACCAGCAGCAACGAAACACAAGCAGCAGAAGCAGCAACAGCAACGCGAGAAGCTGCAGCAGCACTAGCAGCAGCAGCACGCAATAACAACAACAACAGCAGCAGCAGGTCCTTACTGGCTTCCGTCTTGACGAAGTGGTTAGTAGCGGCGACAAATCCCCCCGGGCATTCGCAGAGATGAATGCTTTTGAAGACTTTGGGTTGCTTCTGCTGCTGCTGCTGCTGCTGCTGCTGCTGCTGCAAGTGCTGCAGCCTGGGTCTGATGACTGGTGTCTGTGCAAGGATCTCATACAACTTTGTCCACGAGTTTATCAGCAGCTCGGGGCCGTGCCCTTCTCTGTCTATCACCTGCAGCAAAACAAACTCTAACAAAAATTGGTGTTGCAGCAGCTGCAGCAACAGCCTGCAGCAGCTGCTGCTGCTGCAGCAAAGGCGGGAAGCTATGGTGCAGCAAGCGGTGTATTGTATGCTTCAGGCAATGAAAGCAGGAGGAAGAAGAAGAAGCGGTGTAGCAGCAGCCATAATGAATGTGGTGTCTGTACACCTCGAGTGTATGTATCTGACCTTTTTTCGAATTGTTGGAATAACACTTTTTAAAATGTCTGTCTTTGTTGTGTGGCCCTTCCACTCTTCAATTGCAATAAAAGACAAACGACTGCGGCTCTTCTCTAGCCGCTGCACTGCTGCCTCCAGTTCAGGTGAGGCGTACCCAGGGGTCCTGTCAGCAGCAGCAGCAGCAGCAACAGCAGCAGCAGCAGCAGAGCGCACATACACGCAGGGAGGATTCTATGGGCGTGCGTGCATGTAGACAGCACAGTCGCTCGCTGCTGCTGCTACTGCTTTTGCTGCATTTGGTGCTGCAGCTGCTTCCTGCGTGTGTTGCTGCATTTGCTGCAGTAGCTGCTGGATATCTGCTGCTGCAGGTGCTGCTGCAGCTGCAGTTTGTGAGTTTCTTACTTGCCGACGAGCTGCACAGAGTAGCAGATGCATTTTAATCTTTTACTCTTGCAGTGGCTACAGGGCGGGTCGCTCCCCGGAATGACTGGCCCTTCAAATTGAAGGTGAAGTAGAGAAGTAGTAAAGACAAAATGCTTTTCAATATCGAAGCCCTCTGAACCCCCACGACCCTCTTCTCCCTTAAGTGGCCCCCTTTTAGGGGCCCCCCCATTGGGGGATGCCCCTTCCCTAGGGGCCCCCACTTCCCTGGGGGCCCCGGAGGCCCCCCCCCACTCTAAGGGGTCCATAGAGTCTCCCACTGTCTATATAATTAAAGCAGAGACGATGATAAAGATGTTAGGGTTTAGGGCTTCATAGGATACAGCAACGGGGAGCCTTCAATTTACCCTGTTTCTTTCTTGCTGCTTTCTTAAACATAATCTGCTTCATATGCTGAGGGATTTAGAAAGAAAAGATGCATCAAAAGGGTCTGGGTGTTGGTGATTAAAATCATTAAAGGAAGGGTTTCTGTATTAACAAGGAAGGGCCCCAGGGCCCCTATAAGAGAGGAGAGGCTCCTGAGGGAGATTGCTGGTGTTATTAAAGAAGAACAACGGCAAAAACCTCAATTTATTATTCTGAGATAAAGAAATTGAGTTTTATTTCAGCAAAGAACTTCATATATCACCGCATCAACCAGCAAGGGGCCCCCATCGAGGTCCTGGGGGGCCCCCGGGGGGCCCCCTGGAGTTTCTTAGGGCCTCCACGTTGAGGGAAGCCTTCCCACCTTTTCTATTACCTTACCCCGATTTTTTTAATTGTTTTGCTTTTAATTATGAATAATATTAATAATATTTGTCTCGAGTCTTTAAAGATCAAGAGGTGGAAGGGGGAAGAAAAACGCAGGGTTGCTTGGTGTTGCATATTTAAACATTTATTTTCTATTAAGTTTGTAGATGAGTGCTTCTGAAAATAAACAGAGTGCGGTAATTCGATAGCTGTCTGTACACTCCGCCACATTGGCCCCCAAAACGATATATATAATATGTATACATGCATGCATACTTGCGAATATATATATATATATATACATTATATACATATATATATATATTGTATCTACCTGCAGCATACATATATGTATATACTAATGTATATATATATATATACCTGAAGCAAGATCTACGTATATGCAAACATATGTAGATAAATGCATGTGTGTATTTAAATACTAAGAAATATACATATTAAATATATATATATAATATACATATATATATATATATATATATATATATTTGAGTACTGCACTAGTAGCATCATCCCTGTGTTTCTGCATGTAGACATGTTACAACTGTAGCAGTGTGTATGTCTATATATATGTGTATGTGTGTTTGTCTTATTATAATCCCCTTATTTATTTTATTCATTTATTATCCGCAGTAATAAACTTGGTATACTCCTCTCATTTATTGTATTTATTTATTGTCCACAGTAATAAACTTAGTATAATCTCCTCGCCCGGTGAAGATGTCCTTCTAACTGTTCTAAACGCTACTTAGGCCCCTTCCCCTCTCATTCAAGGAAAGACAAAGAGTTTATATATATATATATATATATATATATATATATATGTACTTCCGGGATATATGCACTTCGTATATATAGCGTATTTTTATGCGTACATATTGTGAGAAAGATGAAGGAGCTGTTCCACTAGTAGGTTTTGTTTTTCTCGCTGTTTGCAAATTCTTATGCAGGAAGAAAATGCGGTATACAACACAACAACTAAAATTCCCAATCATAAATAGTAATAAAAAACATACCCACCCCAAGCCCTAATGTAATATACAAGTACCGCCTCACTCGCGCCCCTGAGGCCTATGCTTGGATTTACCTATTCGCCTCTTATTCCCCGTCAAAGTGTAAATAAGATGTACGTACAACAACCCCACCGTTGCAAACACCCACACAAGGAGCAAGCTCCATCTGCATGCAATCGTATAGTGCAGGTAATTGATATTTACGTACACATACATATTTACATGAGATATATATATTATATGCGTGTTCCCGCGGCCACAGTTTCTTGAATCTATACTGTACACAAATATACACGTGAGAGTCAAATGCAAAAGAGCAGAGAGACAAACTGTCTGCTCCGCAGCAGCTTCCTTGGAGGATCCCCCTTCTGGGAGGCTGCCGGCGTCTTAGCTGTGAGCCATCAGCTGAATATACATATACATGTTTTTGAAAAAGTGATTACACAACAAATGAAGAGGCCCCTCTGTATTGTTCGGAGAGCGAGAACCTAGACCGTAGTGCATACACCCTGGCACCCCTCAAAGTGTCTATCCAAAACAGAAGGTTTCCCTGAAATACAATCATTTTGATGGAACTCTCTGCTTTGTCTTGCAAGCATAAATAGGGTTTAAAACACTTGGTGAACCTTCACGACAATGAAGTCTGCACAAAAAAGTATTATCCCCTTTATCCAGTCCCGTCTACAAATTCTGAATCCCACCTATAAAAAAAACCACTCCCTTCACCGCCACCCTAAAATCAACAGAGTGCCTGCGTGCTGCAGCAGGACATACTAACTCAGCATATAAATGGCATCTGCTGCGACGCTTCTGGCTTTCATGCAACCGAAGCAGCCATCGCAATTACTTCTGCGGCGAGCCATATATACCTCCACGCAACCACTGCGCCATTAATGGCAGTCTGCTCCGCAAACTCAGAGGGGAAGCCCTTGTTCCTCTAGGCAGCGCTCCCCTTCCCGCTGTCTCCACCTGCAGCCGACGCATCGCTTTCCGGTGTCTGTACACCACGGGGCTCACCCTCGGCCACACCGTGGTATACGCGACGCGTCCCTCGATGTGAACCTGGTGCCCTGGATGCTCCATCCCCTATCTCCACATGCACTGTTGCTTCCTGCTGAGGCGAGCTTAGCGTCTGGGAAGAGAGAAGGCTGCTTCTGCTCGTCAGCAGCAGCCGAACAGCACTTGCAATATCATTTGTGTGACCTGGTGTAGGCATGCCCACGTCCATCAACACATTCTGCTCAGCCGCATCGGCAGCCACCCCACTTGCCTCTTGAGAACTCCACCCCAGGCTGTCTACTGTCACTTCATCACTTTGTTTGTTTTCTTGCCAAGTAGGAGGGAAACTGAACAAATTATACCCTTCATCTGATGAGCGGATGAAGTCCCACTGGGAGCTCAGCAACGGTGCTGAGGCCTCAGAGATGCCCCCGCCAATAGCGCCTCCCCCTGTGAGAAATTCAGTTCGATTGTGATCACATCCTTGTCCGCTTCCTTCTCTGTATACATTGTTTTCCATTCCTGGTGAATGGCGATGAGGGGCCCGCATCTCGGCATGGGGTGCCTGCAGCTGTGATCTCTGAGGACTCCGACAGGCCCAGGGGATGGCTTCGTATCCCCTTCTCTGAAAGGCTGACTGCTCCTTCACGCCCTCCTCAGCTAATCCAAATTCAGGAGCTCGCTGCATCTGAATCTCTTCTTCAGTGGTGCGCATGCCGAGGGGAGCCCTTCTGGGCCTGGCGAAAGGAAGCGTAGGGTCTGTGAGTTCAGCGACAAGGTTGTTGAAGTTGGGTTGATCCTGCAGCAAAATGAAATCCAGGTAGTTTCTTGGAAGAAGGGGAGAATGCTTCCAAGGGCTTTCGTTTACTGTAAGCCATTCACGCAGTCTTCCGTCTCGCATCACCTGGTTCTTGCGAGCATAGACAGTGTGGCTGAGCTGGGCCATAGCGTGTGCAAGGTCTCCTCTGTCTACGTTGCCAAGAGGAGTCACCACCGATTCCATGGTGTCGAAGGCAGCTTTTATCTGAGTATGACTCAACTCCTGCAGAAAAAGCAGCTCGCGGAGCTTCTGCATACGCTCCTCTTCAGGCAAGACGGGCAGTTGGTGTCTTGTTCTCTTGAGTTTCTTAATGATCAGGCGCAAGCGGTAATACTTCGACTCTGCACCTCGAATGCTCCCCAATGGAATGCTCCCAGCAATATTCAAGATCACCTGGTTAACGGCGGCGGTCGCAGGATTGAAGCTGGTCCTCACGCCCTCACCCACCAATGACAACAGAGCACTGAACTCAACAATTACGCCGCTGAAAAGAAGGCATGCTGCTTTATGCCGGTCTGCCACCGGGAGGCGCAGTAGAAGACTCTGAGCCGACTCCGCCACACACACAAAGGTCGAGATGACCGAAGAGCCACGCGCCAGCAGCTCCGTCGCTTCGTCTGGATACTCAGCTTCGCCGGTGTGGCCCCCCTCATCCTCACCCTCACCAGCATACCTGCACGCGAAAGAACCTTCTTCCTCCTCTCCTCCAGCTGCAAGCAACCGACCTGTTGCTGCAGGTCTCCACTTCCCTTCCCCCAGATGCAAGGCGCAACGCCACACAGCATAAACCACCACGACGCCAACAACAGATATGAGAGATGCAACATGACTTCGTAGGAATGCATGGCCAATCGACTTCTTCATCTTATGAGGAACTGCCTCTTCTCTCATCCGGAATCGCGGAATCTCCCAGAAACCAGTGGCAAGTTCGCTGAGAGGCATAGAGGAAGCTCTACTTCTCCGGTCGTCTCTCGAAAACGAATCAGGACAAGGTTGTGTGTGGGCATCTTCTTCCACCCTTTCCTTCATTGCTGTTGACAATATTTTTTTTCTGCGAGGAAGCCGAACCACACAGATCCCTCAAGAAAACCGACTGAAGGACTGGCACTTGACTAATGATACAGACAGGAAAAAGAGGAAGCTTCAGCGTCCATTGACGCCTCTACTTTCCTACAATCCCCAACACTCCACTCAGCTCCTTCACTCATGAAACATCATTTAGGCCAAATACGTGCTCAGCAACCAACCTGAGACGCGAACCAGACGAAACTGGAAACCAGAAGCACTCGAGACACCTCAAGTCAGTTCTTCTTGCCACTAGCTTTTACTTAATTCCTCCTCATTCTAGTACAAATGAAGAAACCAAGGATTAATTCACAAAGGAAGCCCCAAAACCCGCCAGCTCGCTGAAGCCTTCCGCGGGTGACCGCTGGTCTCGAGAGGGCCTGCATCGATGGTCGCGGTATACTATCGGCGCATGAAACACTAACTTCTTTGAATTCGGAAGAAGCAATTCCATTTACTCACTTTTCAAAAATGCTGTTTCATTTTTAGTCCCGTAGTCCGCACTCTCACATACCTTTCTCAGCATGGGGCATTAATGAATTGAAGGGCTTCGTACTGATTTGCAGCAAGCACCAGCGCCACGGCATTCGGCTAGAAATGAAGGGGGAAGAGCTTTCTCTCGCTTTCTGGTCATCGCTATGGATATGCAAATAAAGATCTTTGTTCAGGCAGCTTCCGCAACGGCAGTTGCGGGAGCGAGAGCTTGAAACACCCCACTTCTGAATAAGCTCCTTCCTTCCACTACATTCAGTTGGAGGCAATTCTCTCAATCCATTCAGATTCTCTGAGTGACTCAGATCTAACTACTACCAGTTATTATGAATCCGTCCCACCTGCGCGCCACACATGTTTTTACTTGGCCAAAGGGAAACTCTCCATCTCGGCTCCGGGCGAACACAGTGTTGCTTAAAGGTCAAACTGTTGAGAATACTAGTGGACGAGGCCAGCGCAGAAATGCCCAATTGATTGGCCGTCCTAAAGGGTTATTACCATCAGGGCACGAAGTGGGAAAGCACCTTACATCTATGAGTGTGGAGACTTTTGGGCTTGAAAGTTACATCTTCTTGCACCAAAAGTGCTGTGAGAGCGACTGCCGGCGGGAGTGCAAAGAATTTAAGGGCTGGGACTACTTCTGTAAGCACCATTCACAATCGCGCATCTAAGAAGGGCCGTAGTACTAAAGTGGTTTGACGTGTGGGACTGTTTTATAAGTGAAGGGTTGCCTGTAACTACGAAGCAACGCCATGTGCCACAAGCAAGTTTTTACTCTCCACCTTAGTTTGTTTATCTTCCTCACGCGAAAGGATCCAAAGGCACATGGCTTGTAGACTGCGAAACTACAGTACGTAGTGAGCAGAAGAGCATTTCTTGGTCTATCTGCGTTGTTTCCTCCTCCGACTGACTAGAGCTCCAATAATTACACTTATCAGCTAGTCAGCAAAGAAAGAGTCTCTTTGATTCGCCAGAGTAATCCAGACAGGCGTCTTTCTTGCCCGTCTTATTTTCTGTACTATCATGAAAACGTCTTGTGCGGTCGGCCGGGCAGATTGGGCGCCAGCGTATTGAAACACTGCATCCTGCCTGCCCCTGGCGCAACCAGCCTATTGGTCTACTTCCAAACCCCACGTTACTTAAAATATGCTGGCAAGCAATTTAACGCACACCCGTTTTGACTCTGGAACAACAATGGAGTAGGGTCGATTGTTCAGAGTCCAAGTCCCTGGTAAGCACTAGGGAGGCTGAATGGCTCCAGAGCCGTGGGCTGATGCACTTTTGTTATCCATTCAGCCTATGATCTGCGGCAAAGTGTCAGGAAACGCACCGTGGGGAAGGGCGAAGGCCAAGGGCACCGGGGCCTCCTCAGTTGCGGGTCTAAACATGGTGCAGAAAAGTCGACCGATTGTTTGACGCGCAAGTTCACGTTCATGGTGGTCAGCTTCGAAGGAAGCGCAAGGAAAGGCGCATGCTTTTCCGGGGCGGTACACCCGAAGGAGAAAGCATGCGTCGGCAAGCAGTGTTAGAAGGCGCCAGATAGCGTGAAGCATTTCAAACCAATAATCCAAAGTGGCCACAGTAGGACGCATTAGAGTGAAGTGTCACTGTAACTTGGACCCACAGCCGCTGCATACTGCCAACATGAAACGTTCCTTCCAAACGCAAAGCGCCTCACTGCAGCAAGCACCAAGCAGCCTGTTGTACAAGACAGGCTCGACCGATTGACACAGATGCGGGTGGTTACTCTACTCATCATCTTCGTCGGTTTACAATTGCCCTAGTTGCTGGTCAAAGAGGAGCTGCGAGTTTGTGTTTAATAAATAGCATGCCGTGGTATTTATCCTTCTGTGATGACTGTACTCCACGTCGTTCAATGCTGCATGAGACATCTGGCAAGCCCGATGTGCAAAGTAGACTGCTTGTTTCAGAAACAACCCCAAAGTGGCGTGGAATCATTTTCAGTCCAGCCGATATAACTGCGTGCCTTACATGTCACCATCGGCTCTTCGCCCTGCAGCTGCAAAAGGCCGCCTTGCTTCTTCCCCGATATCTGGCAGTGAAAACGGACTAGAAACTACAGGAGTCTCTGAAGATTCACCCACCAAGTTTATTTGGTCTAGTCCTACATCGCTGGCTTCCCCTGCAATCAATTCTTGCGCAGTTTCAGATGTTGGGCTAAGGAGCTGTGGTGAGCTACCCCCTGTCGAGAAAGAGTGTCCGTCAGAAGAAGCTTCAAATGGGGGAACGTAAAGCCCTTGTGATCCGTATGAGGGCACATTCAATCCTAGCGCATCAGATAGGGAAGAACGGGGTAGTAAGGAAAAAGAAGATCGAGACCCAGAAATGCCGAGAAATGGCAAGAAAGAACCAGAAGTTTGGGCACGTAGGTGGGATCGGGGCTGCACCGGAACGTGAGCACTCACACGCTCACCAACAGGATCTCGCAGGATGTTTGACCGTACGTGGCTGGGCACACTCACCACACCTGGAACAAGCGGATGCAGCAGTTGCTGCTGCGGCTGTGGCTGCCACGCCTGTGGCCTCTGCAGCAATTGCTGCTGCAGCAGTTGCTGCTGCAGCAATTGCTGCGGCAGGAACTGCTGCTGCAGCAATTGCTGCTGCAGCAGTTGCCTCTGCAGCAGTTGCTGCCGCCCCCACTGTCCATGCATCCGCTGCTGTCGCCACTGCTGCTGTGATTGCTGCTGCTGTGGCTGCTGTGAATGCTGTTCCTGTTGCTGCTTCTGCTGTGACTGCTGCTTCTGCAGCTGTTGGTGATGCCCTTGTTGTTGCCGCTTCTGCTGTTGCTGCAGCTGCAGGTGCAGGTGGTGCTGTTCGTGCTGTTCCTTATGCTGCCGCTCTTCGTGCTGCTGCCCTTGGTCCTGTTGTAGAGGTCCCTCGTCATCTAGGAGCTCGAACGTTTTCCCCTCTTCTTCCTCGGAACCCCCTGATTCACTTAAGTGGAAATCGTCTTCCTCCAGAGTTTGCGAACTGCAATCGCGGTATTGCCACTGTCTTTCTCTTGTTTGATCGTAGATCCCAACGCTCAACAGCTCGTCGAGACTAACTGAAAACGGTTGTACACCTCGGTTCGCCACCTTGTCCAGAAAGGCCTTCGTTGCAAGAGCATGGTGTTTATTCGTTGGGTTGTTTGCAAGCAACCACCAGTTGAGGTGACAGTCCGAGAATATTTGACGCTTACGGCGGTGGTATACCTTGAACAGTTCGGATAGAGCTTGTCTGCATTGAGACAACTGAGATGACAATTCAAAGGCATAACAGCCGGAAAGGCCTTCATATGCAACAGTAGCCTTTTGAATCCCCACCTCCTGCAGGCGCAGGAGTCCATAAAACTTCTGCAAACGCTCACTGCCACTTATGGTGGGCACCTGTGGTTTCAACATCGCAAGTAGTCTAAGGATTCTGGCTAGGGCATTTTGGCGGCGCCGTAACCTTAAGCTTCTAACTTGCAAGGTGGGATCATATGTTAGACGCTGTGCTGCACAGTGTATCACAAAGGCTGCCCGCCTTAGAGAAGGCATTAAGTCCTCGCCGGCGATGACGGCCAAGGCGGACAGCTCTTGAGCGGGAAGGGCTAGGACAAGGGAGATGCCGCCAAATTGCCGAATGATAGGCGACCTAACCAGTAACTCCTCGTACTGGAGCGTAAGCGATACTAACGAAGAAAGTACTGCCTCCGCTCTGCTGAGCAGCTCGTCTTCTGCAGGCACTTCCTCTTCTTCGTCTTGCACTTCTTGTGGCGCCTGCAATGCGTCTCCGCACACGTCTTTCCGGATGCCCTCGCCACCTTCGGCCAGAGCCCTCAAGCCCTTCCCTACGGTGCTAGCACGGCCAAGGTGAACAGCGCAGCGCAATACTGCAAAGGCAGCCACAAGGCTAGCCAGTAATGCAAGGGCCATTGTTCTACCGTTTAACTGAACGCAGCATCTTCGGTTTCTGCATTGAGGCGCAGCAGAGTGGTATGGAGGCTTTTCATCTGTCCTAGGGAGCATGCCAAGAATGGTCTCTACAGAGTGCCTTCCTTTCCTCCTGCGAAGAAGCCAATCAAACGGCTCGATTGCCGCCCTCCCATTCTGTCTATTCTCCATTGCACTTTGTGTCACCCGTCTTGCACTTTGCCGAACAGGATTAACTGCACTTGGCTACGCCTGAAGCCCAAACCTCGTCAATCGAGGAGATACGGTCTGGCCCCCTCGCCACCTTGTAGCTTCAGAGTCGCTCTTAACGAAGAGATAAAAGTTGGGCAATGACTTTCCCGCTGGTTCCTGGCACTGGGTGATGGTCGGTTCAGGGTCAAAGCAGAGGTCATTGAAGCACCGAAGGCGGGTACACCTGAGTACTAGTTATACTTCCACTATCCATAGGTGTGATTATATACAGATAACGCGCTAGCGCGTTCTGGAAGGAAGACGAGACATAGATACGCCGAAAGCGTCCAACTCAGTGAGGGCCACCACAGATTAAAAATAAGAAAGTAAAGTAATTGAGCTAAATTCCACTCAGAAAACAGAAACAGCAAATAGATGACGCAAATGGCAGGCGAAGACAGGACAGGGACCAGCCCCCTGTGGCCTGATCGAGATGTAGCAGTTGAATGGACCAGCAGCTGCAGCGCGCCGAGAACAGCAATGCTCGATCGTAGCACTGCGTATATAAGAAAACGCATTGAAAACAGATTAACAGGCCTAAAATTACAAGTTTAGGCTATGTGAGGACATTTATTGCGCCTCAATTTAAATTCAACATGTGCCGCCGACCAAGTGGAGTCGAGCTGACGGAGTGATATGAAGTGCTGTAATGGTGGGCCCACTGAAGTACTTCAGGGAAAATTGCATGCCAAATTCAGAAATGCCAGATAGTTGGATGGATGCTTTCTTGTGACGAAACCAAACAGAGGCTCCCATGGGAGTGCGTGGTGGCAGCGAAGGGCTCCGTCGCTATGCTACTCGAGGCCTAGAGAACGTCGAATAGCACAGCATTCGAAATTTTAACGGGCAAAGGCGTTTATCCACGTAAGTCGTAGATCCATTCTAGACCGATAAGGTATATGTAGTTGCTTGCAAAGAGCAAATGAACTCCGAGTCTGTGGCAGGGTCAAAGGAGCCCAACAGTGGACCTCTCCGTCGCGGTGGCACTTATGGGCAGCAGAACAATGCATCTTTCTGTCAGTTCGCCGAGCCAAGTGCCCAGGCCCCATTGCTGAGCTCTGGTTATCAGCAATATACAGTTCTGGGCACCTACGAAGCCATCGGAAGCAAACGGCCGCCACGATCATTCAAAACAAGCCTCAGCTCCTCTGAATAGTCCAAAGGTTAGACACAAAAGTCGTCACCCGTGTCTCCCCAGAATAAGCTTCCTGTTAGGTTGTCTGCACAAGGGGTAGCGGTTTGTACCATCCGCGAAATCCTAAGAATCTCTGGCACTCTTTCTTCGCCGTGCGCCCTTGGCTCTAAATGTTCAGAAGTTGCCTGCTTTTCCACTGACAAACTCAGGTCTCTTATGTCAGCATGCCATAATTGAGGGTTCGACACGAGCGATAGATACTCAAACAGAAACGTGACAGTTCACCACCTTACCTTCGGTGCATACCAAAGCTGTTTCTCATGATGCCGAAGATGTCAGGCAAACTGAAAGGGTTGGAAATAGTCTCTTCCACACTGTTCTGCTGCCCTACTGTCATGGGCACAGGCTCTCTCAACGATGAGCTGAAGAAACCTTCCTGCATTGGTTCTGGGGGACCGTAGGCTCCCGCCAAGGTACTTGCATCCACCGCAGACCACTGCGGCCACAGCACAACAGGGGAACAGATTACTGGAGTGTGTTACTATACTGTCGACGGAGAGCTGTACTACCGTAGACTCGCTCTGCAGGGCAGACAGGGAGCATAACAGTACACGAGCCACTCACCCAATGAGGCGACGGATCAGAAAAAGCGTAAGGGAGAGAAAGAAGACCAAGATTTGCAGTTCCTTTAGTATGATGCAAGGCAGATGTTGTGCGTACTTCGCTACTAGGCAGTTCTGGATCGTATGAGAATTGCTTGGAATACCCAAATCCCCAACCTTCATACCAAGCAGCTGGCACTGGATGGCTTGGAATGACAGCCTGGCCCAAGAAGCTTGGCTCCTGACTAACGTGCCCAGACTCCAGCAGATGCCCAGAGGAAACTGTGGACTCTTCCACTTCCTGCAATTCCGCTTCCTCAGACGGCGGCTCATCATGTTCCGCAGTGCGATCCTCTGCCTTTACAACGCGTGCACAGTGCTGTCCTGCTGTGTGCTGTTTTCCCCTTACGGATAAAAGAGTCGTCAGTTCCTCGAGCATCTTTTCAACAGTCGGGCGTTTCCGAAGCCTAAGTTGAGTGATATACCCTGGCGAGGCAACGCCAAAACGTTTGCCTTGATTTTCGCGTTCAAGTAGCCACCGGCTGAGCAGAGGGTCACTGAGTATGTGTTTCTTCCTAATGTGCAGCAAGTCCCCAAGCCTAGCTGTCGTCGCGATCAAACCAGCATCATCGGGATCGCACCCGGAAGAGAGCAGTCTAGTAAGTTTGTTGAACGCCACGCTGAGGTTTTCCAGCATCGCCTCTTGCAAAAGGAGCAGCTCGTGTAGCTTCTGAAGGCGCTCAGTGGGAGGCAAAAAGGAACCTTGAGGTCCTGACAGCTCAAGGCGGCGGAGGATACTGGAGAGGTAAAGCTGAAGGCGGCGCGAACAAACGCCTCCCTTCCTCCTAGTAATTGTCGTTCCTAGGCGGCACGTTATCATGCTTACCTCGCCAACCGTGTGCACTAGAGCAGCCCTTGAATCCTCGCCTATCACAGATGCTAATGCGGCCAACTCCTGCACAAAAAGGGTGAGGAGGAGAGAGAGAACTTTGCTTCGGGTCTGCATGGGGATTCGAACCAAAACAGGCTCGTTGGACTTCACAATCGTCAATAAAGAGTTCATAAAGCCAGAAGCTTTCTTCTGTAACTCCTGTTCTGAGAGTTTTGCATCAGGCGCACCTCGCCCTTCAAACCAATCACCTCCGTCCCCCAAGCAAGCCGCCGGCGCGTCTACCCGCTTCGGCCCAACAAGAGACCTCACGTCACCACCCGCCTTCCTACTAGGGATACCTTTGATCGCACAACGGAGGATTGCAAAAGTGAGTGCAAGTATACCAAACCCCACGAGAGCGAGAGCTTGTCTGCGCTTCTGCCGTAAATTCCGCTCGGGTCGGGCGCTCAAGCCTCTGCTGCGGATTTCGTCCTTCCCCCATGATGCCGCATTGCCTTCAACGACTTCCAAGAACTGCGTATCGTCTTCGTTGCTTCTAGGAGGCAAGCCCGCCCACTCATCGGGCGTGAATACTTCCGTCGGTCCCAGCATTGCGCGTCGACACGTTGTGCGCCGACGTTGGAAGTAACTTGTTTCCGATGCCTCACGGGGGTCATCACAAGCCATATGCATAGAATTGCCTGAAGAGCAGTAGGAGTGAGCAATCACTCCAGGGAAACCAATGGTCCTTCGAACAGACTGGCGCCCGCCCGTTCCGTACGCTCCATTGGGACAAACCACACGACGAAATGAGACTTCAACATAATTATTTGCATGTATTCACCCATACGAGCAGTGTTCCAGCTGTTCAACTTCTGCCACTCAATGCTACTGCAGGCGTCCCCACGCTGTCCAGTAAGCACTGTGATATTGCCGTTCCCGTGCAGACCAGAAAACAACTATAGTCCAGCCCACTGCAAATAGCTTTGCATGAAAATTACTGCTATTTGATTCGATAGCTCAAATAAGAACACTGCTGAGAACTGCCATGTGTTCCAATGGCCTGAGCCCGCAACCGATGCTGCGGGCTAGGTGAGGCTTCGCATTGAGACGCGCCCTCTGACGCACCAGCCAGAGAAAAGGCACTCAGCTATAATTTTATAGCTCTTGTTAAGATATGTTTACTAATTTATTGGGAATATTGTGTTAGATCCACTGCTTTCTGGGCACGTTCGAACTGCCGCGCAGTGTATCCACAGAAACGCTCGTCTTACATCATCGAGTGTCAGTGTCTCTTACATGTCTCCAGTTCATTCTCTGCAATTGAAATTATCTTTCGGTGTTGGAATATTAGTTAGTTCCTGTTCCTTAGACCTATTCTAAGAGCCTCAAGGCGTTGCATTATCTGCTCATGCAGTAGGGTCTTGTAGACACGTGCATCGCTTGGAGCCAGTACCTTTTCTCCGCTTTAAAAGCTAGCCAAAATAGGCGAGTTGCATGCTTTTACACAGAACGTATCTAGCAACGAAGGCAGGTATGTACCTAGATACAAATACTTACCTACTCCTAAGGCGATGAAACCCATCACTGCAGCCTCCGCTAAGGTGGGAGGTGCCAAAAGGAGTTCCTCCTGATGAAAAAGTTTCAATTTTGTGGCATATTTGCAAACCTTTTCAAGAAATCAAGCATTGTGTTTTCACATGCCTACATTCACCCCTTGATTTAGGAAAGCATCGTGTTCAAAGCGTACTTACAATCCCGCTTCTAATCATTGTGGCGTCGGTACTCCGTATGGGACAGTTTGCAACTCCACGCGTGCTCAGTGTTGAAGCGTTGGGAGTAATTGATTTCAGGTGAGCTGGCTGCTGCAAATTTTCACTCGGCTAGGGAGATTTTAGATATGCGGGTTTTTATCGGTGCCTTTGCTCAAGTGCTGATCAGAGGAGAGCGCATTAGATGTCCCTTGCTTAACCGAAAGGTCAACTGATGCGGGAAAGAAGCAAACGGCATGCGTGCACCAGCAGATCTGCCTTCCATGATTCCGAAACCTTTCCGCAAGGTGCAGCGCACCCCCTCTTCGTCAGTGTACAGTCTACTGAATGTATGGCAATATACGCCGCTTTTCCAGCCTTCTAAACTCTTGTCATTAGCGAGACGTTGCATTTTGAATATGAGGTCTTGGAGCCGATCACAAGCACCATTGCAAAGCCTACAAATGAGGAGCAGTTTTTCCCTCTATAGGAGATCCAGACGTGAACAGCCAGCAAGTGTTTGAATGCATTCGCGCGTCACTAATGTTCACACGCGTACGCATGGGAAACAAATGCACTAAATTATCTTCGTGTTAGTAGCTTTCACTGTGCGAATAGATTTGATCGGTCTATTGGGGGAGAGTTGCCAAGCTTCTTTATCTGGGCATTGTTTAGGAAGGCGCAAAGAGTGAAAAATCTATTACAACTCAGTCAAGTACAACTTGCCACATGCATGAAAGCATCACTTACTGATTAAGAGAGTTCAGACGGCTGGGCATGCGCAGCACCACTGGCGCCCGCTTCTCTCCATTATAAGCATATTTGTCATCAAAACGGCTTTATTAGCACCCCCGGCTTCAAATAAAATGACGCAAGCATTTGAAACTGACACGCGCAGTTACGGCAAAGGCGTTAATCCCGCTTCGTTGCGAATGCTGTTTGCAGGTGTCACCGTCACAATGGGCAAAGGAAATGAAGCAAGGAAAGGCAACGGTATGACAGCTACAAAAATGAGCTTCTCGCTGCCCCTCAGGAATTGATGGTGATTTTATCCGCGCAGCATCGCATGAATACAACGCATGATTCCAGTTGGCTTGCACCGGTTTTCTCTGTGCAAGAACTAATGCTCCCGGTGAATCGCTCCTCGAAGTGGAAGACAAGATCATTTATACGCAGGGGGGTGCCTAAGTAGAAGAAGCATTTGTCGGGGGTTCTGCCTTCCACATATCAAATTTTGGGTGTGGGATAGACTCACGGTGGGATGCCACTGGCCTTTAGGGAATTGCGGCCATCCCCACCACCGCTGGCTCACCCTGGGCCACACCGTGAAAAGTCTGCTTTGGCAGACGTTCTGACCCTGGAGCCTTTGCCATCCCACTTCTGGCCAGCAAAGGAGACTCTCTTCTTGCACTTGGAGACTCATATGGTGGCGTAGCTGTAAGGGGGCTAAGCTTCGACGTTCCGTAGTCCACACCGTAGAACGGTTTGAGCGGCCTGTGGCCACCTGGAGCCTTTGACAGCCTGCCTGAAGGTACGAGTAATTGCTGCGGCAGCATGCCCATCGACGAAGAAGATGCAGGAACAGACAATACGTCAGACTTTGCGTCTCGCTGGACCATGTCTTGGGACGGCATAGGGGTTATTTCCCACAGTGACACAGTGGTAATACCTTCTGCTGCTGACGAAACTGAAGACGATCCTGGCTTAGAACTAGACCAAATGTTACGCCACGCCTCGCCATGCGCCAAACTGTAAGAGTCACTAGATGGCTCGCCTGACCTTCGAGCATTCGATAATGCTGTTGTATTTAGGGGCGCGACTGGATGCGGTTCCATACGTTGAGACGAAGAGGATTCAAGCCTATGCCAAGGGTTATTTTGAGGGGTTGCTGATGGTGTCAAAGATTCGCTACTGAGACCAGGTGGCGGTTCACTAATATAAAAGAGAGAGAGTTGGTCAGAAAATTGGTCACGCACCTCCAGTTCAGACATGCTGTCGGAGTCTAGCACAGGATCTGCAGCCACTTCAGTCTCCCATCTAGTATGTGAGTTTGGGTCAGAATCCGGCGAAGACTGCTTCGAAGTCCTCATTGCTTCACTGTTGGTAGTACATGGTAGGCGGAAAGTATGTTCCGAATCAGCGGGGGCACTCTCTGGGAACAAAACGCTAGCGGTAAGTTCTTGCACAAAAAGACTGACAAGAAAGCATACTGTATTTCTCTTCACTTCATCACTGGACCCTCGTAGTGCGTGTTCACTAGCTTTGGTAAAGGCGACAAAAGACCGCATGACTGCCAAAGCTTTCGCGTGCAGTTCGGCGTCTTCAGATTCCATAACTGCACCCCCAGCCATCCCATATTCTTCTCTAGTGCCTAGTCTACAATATTTTGGTTGTCCTTTTGCTCCCTTTTCCCTACCTGCTGTTGAGAGACCACGTGCACTTCTACGGACGTTGAGATGACAAATGGACTGAAATATCAGAAGCGCAGCGGCAAACGCCGTCCCAGCAACAAGTAACAAAAGTCGGCCAGCACGCCGCCTCCTTACTTCCGTACGATTCCGCTTGACAAGGACTCCTTGCTGGTTCCCCTGAGTGTGTGAGGAAGCTATGTCTTCTGAGTCCTTCACCACTGATCCCCTACGAGGTCTTCTGGCATTTTCACCATTGGCGAAGGCAGTGCTTCTCATATCCAACCTAATTTCTCCCACCTGTCCTTCCATTATATGTTTATAGGTAGAAAAAAGAAGCACGAGACGCTGACATCCGCCTCCAGAATAGCCCGTGCAACGCCCAGTTATACAACCACCTGGGTTATGTCAAGGCCGTTTAAAGTGGAGAAAAAGGGCATATTGCTCGCTTTTTAACGGAAGCAACGCATATTATCTACCGTTTGGTGCTTTCGAATGTTGGTGGGACGGAAGCGTCAGGGAGAATCAAGAAATCTTTGCAGGATAACAGAGAAGGGATATACCAACTCATCCATCGATCATGTTTTCTAGGAAGCAATGCAAAAAGGTAAAGTTTTAATCTAAAAATACGCCTGTCTGCCCACGTAATTGGTGCAAGCCACAAATAACGCAAAGACTACCTGAGATAATCGCACAACTAGGATTGACCCTGGGTTCCGTTCTGGGAGACGAGCACTGAGGCGTTTGGAATGGACGATCTAACGCACGGAAACTTGTCCTTCTGCAATTCTTCTTATTACAACCTCCTATGCATTTCCTTTTGCTTGGTTAACTGTGCCGAAAAGGCTGGCACTGTTCGTCATGACTGTCCCAGAATGCAGGTCACGCCACTGGTAGGGATCAGTCGCTTCCGGAGATGCAATGCCATCTTCGTGAAGCGACTAAATGTGGTCCCCCCAATTTGGCCTTTGAAACTAGATGCACTTTATTCGCCTTGTAATTAAATTTATGAATAGTTTTGTCTAGTCTGTGCCATACTCCAAACCTTCAAGGCTTTCCCTGATGGTTTTCCATGATGAACTGTTGGTGGTGCGAGGAGGCGCCGACAGAGCCGAACTTGTAGCACGTTTGTTCTTCTTGGAAGGCTTACTAGAGAATAAATGCATCCATAATTGTTAGTCAGTAAAACCAAATCATAACATATGGCGACCATCCTTGGGTTGTTTTTTTGCGGGGGTGTTCCGTTTTTCATGTGTGTGTTGCGTAGACTGACGGGGTAATAGGTTATACCGCATTCTTTTCCAAACAGTTTGTAGATGTATCTGGCCTATAATTATCTGAGGATACAGGAGAGCTAGTTGCTGTGCATTGACTCGTCTACCCCAAATGCCACATTGCTCGCCACCAGGCAAGGAATTCGTGGTCCAACCTAGTTTCTCTGGAGAGGCTTCGTGGAATGCTCCGTAGAACAACGGAAGCCTCCAGAATTGTATCGTTCAATCTCTCTAGAATGCTCCACAAGGCAAATTTTTTTCCACCTGAAAGTTGTTGCATTTAGCCAGCGATTGTACAGCGCAGAATCGAGGCATGGCTCCATAAACAGGGGTGGTTTACGACCAACACGGCTGGTCGGCACTATCAGAACCACACATCCTCATGCTTTAGGTCTGTGCCTGTCTTTCGGTATAGAAATGGATGATGGAAATGTCTGATACGGGTGCAGATGCTCATTCAAATACGTTTCTCAAGTTTTCGTTTGGCTGGCCATGTGTTTCGTAATATTCCGTAGTAATAGCCATAAGCCAAAGCCACACGAATTGCAAATTGCCCCAAAACTTTAGCTGCATTTTTCTTCACTCCATAGTACGTAGTTGAAGTTGTATTTACTCGCCTAGAATCGATGGATATGTTGGCGGCTGGATGAGCGGTGACAGCCATATACCTTCATTGGCAGGAAGGGACTTCTGCGCCAATTTACTTGCCACCTCAATCTGTTTCAATCTTGCTTCCCTTTATGCTCTACTGGCGGTGGTCTTCCACTGTGTCCATTTGGGGTTGAACCAACGATTCTTAGAAGCCCCCACGGAGAACTATTCTTAATTTTCAGGTACCACTAGCGACACCGCCTGCATATTCCTTCGCAACGCCTAGCCCCTCTCCAGTCTAAGACTGACTCTAGGAGGATTTCCAGTAACTACCGCAGATGTTTTAATCTTTTCAGCAGTTGTAGGCCTTGCTGAGACTTCGCCTTGCCTACTTATAAGGGTTGTCTTCGCTTTTTCCAATATCCGGCTGGATTGTCCCTGATTTCTTTGCCTTAGAGCCGGCTGTATGGCCGAAGTCCTAGCCACACACCCGTAGGACGGTTGGGGGGTCCGCTGATGGCTCGATATCCTGAACCTACGTACCTAGCTGAAGTAACCCTGGCAGGGAATGAGGTGTTCGCTGGTTGCTTCACAAGTCCCAGATGTTCCAAATACCGAAATGCAAGAGCTGTTGCTAAGGGGGATTCAAAAGCCTGACAGATTGCTCCCGTTAATTGCCTCCAACACGTTCTATGAGCGGCCCGGCTTTGAAGCGATAGTCAAGACCAGAGAAGCTGTGCTTAGGCAGTGCAGGTGAACCCAGTAGGAGGCTCTTTCCAGCCGGTATAAACCGGTCACCAATACACACACTTCCTCCCCGAGAGAGTGCAGATGGCTCTTGAATGGCACTGACAGGCTTTCCCGTGCCATCACCCCAGTGGTTTTTCACGCTCCTAACTAAGGATTCGCCTCTATTCAACGGACTGTCGGGTACTCTGTACTGTGTGCATACCAGGGGTCCAGTCAGTCTTGCTTTGCTTCAATGGAGTACAACACTCGCACAGCCGGGCAAACTATAGCTGGATAGTGTCTAAGTGTTAGCAAATATGACACTTTGCACTTTCCCCTATTAGGCAAACAGAAGTTTGTCAGTGATTCTCGCGCGCCTTTAAAGCACTGGTAAGCGCGACTAGTAAGTAATACTGGCGTACTTGCGAAGGGGCATATTATGAGGAAGCTGAAGAAGAGTAGGGACACCGGCACCTTATAGAAGAGCTGCAGAAAAAGCAGCTGATATCCCCTTCACCCTCCAGGCATCCTGAGCAGAAGGGCAAAAGGGCCTGAGGCTGTTGCGGAGAAGTGGCAGCCAGTCCTGACTTGCACGACACCTTGCTGCACGTCAACACCAAATGCAAGCGTGCACAACCCCACCCATTGATGCACGCATTGAAGATGAAGACAATTGTTATGCGCTTACTTGGCACTAGCGCAAAAAGCCATGCTGGTGCGGAGAAATGCGAATACAAGCTTCAGACGCACCATGCTGCACGCCGGATCCGGCAATTGCCCATATTCTATTAGAAGCTGAAGGCATTCATTACTGCCTGAAAACTAGGTTAGACGATGTTTTCAGCTCATTTAGAAAACAATTTGGCACTTGGATGGCATTCTTGGGTAAACTAACCGATCTCTGCACGAGTACCCAGAAAGTAATCGACAGGCCCACGCACGGTTCGTCGGCAGCCGCCACGCGAGGCGCATTTCATACTCTGTCCAGTTCCATGGGATGAGCTGACACAAGCGCTTCCTCACACTTAAATATATGTCTATAAAGATTTCCCTTCCAAATGCTGCTTGCCTGTTGCGTGCTGAGTGCGCCGGATAGTACTCTATTTGCGCGGGTTTACGGGGCGCCCATGTAGTTGTTTCGTGTCTCATGTGAGATAGGTTAGTATATGCATTCGCAACAGAGCCTTCTGTTTTGTCGCCGCGAAATTGGGGTGCAGGTTGAGGGGAAGACTGACTGCTCAACGATTATGCGCGGCCAGACGGAGATAACCCCTTCGAGTCCTTGTGGAGATGCGCCCGTCGTTAGCATTGAAGCAGGTCCTTTGCTCTGGGACAGTGGAGATGAAGCGCTGGGAAGATGGAGAGGCCATGTAAATGCTTCTGCAGTTCACCCCACAGTCAAGCGGCAACCTTGTCGGTTAGACCCGAATTTGCGAGGGATAACTTTGCTCCTAGTGGCCAGCCTTGCTGCAGCATTTGTTCTACTGCGTTGTTATCGTCAGCTCACCGTAGTTATCAGCCTTGGGAAAAGACCTCTGAGGTCGCTGGCTGACGGGAAAGAGGCAGGGCGGGAAACGGAGTGCATGGGAGCCGACTGGGCAATCGTAAAATCGCCTGCAGGTGCCAGTGATGGACTTGAACTAGCAGTGCAGCGACGGACTGAAAGTGTAGTGAGAAGGATAATACAGGCAACGAAAGACTGCGCGTCTGTTGCGGCTTTGCTGCCGTCGACATTACCATTGAGGGTAGCCGATCTTTTCTTGGGATTTGGCATTCAAGAGGTCGCCGCTCTGTCAGTGCTGCTGGGAAGACAGTTTGAAGAACAAAAGGCGGAGGTCCTTCAGACAACTGTACAGGCGGCTCAGGAGCTGAAGTGGTTTTGTCGGCAGCGTACCACAAGGGGGCAGCAACAGCATGCATCTCGGCTTGTGCGATATGCTCTAGATCTATGGGCTGCTGACCCGGAAGTCCTTCCTCTCGCCAATGAGGTACGTTTGCAGATGCTGGAGGAGCTTCTGGAACTTCAGGAAACAGCCCTAGGACTCATAGAGAATGCCGTTTTGTCAGTTTTGAATTCCCAAAGCTCAGGCAAGTCAGTTCCTGCGGAACTTGCGTATGACTTAACCGAGGAATTGAAACGCATCATATACACCCGCCGTACTCAGGTGTTCAAGAGTAAGCATTTGAGTCACAGCCTGCGAGACTTTGAAGAACGCCTTACCCGAGGAAACATAGTGCATGGGCTGGACTTCCAAGATCTAGACAGGAAACCTCAACAAACACTCGAAGAGCAGCTTGCCGAGTTAATTGACGGTGAGGAGTGGGTTAGATTTCCCCTGAAGCAGACTCAAAGTACTCTGCTAGAGGCCTCTGTTCAAAAACAAGAACCCCCAGCAAAACAAGGCGAACCCGAAGGAATCCAGAGCTCTGCTACCGGAGGCGCCCAAGCCCGAAAAATGCTACAGAGAAGCAATTTCCCAAAATTCGAGGTACCTCCACGATTTAGAGGCATGAGCCGTTTCTCCACACAGCAAGCGCGAGACGAGTGGGCACAAGCAGGTTTGGCAGGAACACACACTGGACAGACCGAGCAGACACCAGGCGGCCTTGATCCTTCATATAAAACTCAAAGGTCGCAGGCCGGTCATGCCCTGCCTCACCAAGCTCTGGCTACCGCCTCTTCTTCTGGTCAGGTATTGCCTGAGACAGGAAGAGCTTCTCCGGAGTTGTCGCTAGGGCCCATCCAGTCCAAGGAACCCTGGAATAATAGCCGCTGTTATGGCACTGCAGCTTCTCCGGCCACGAGGCCACAACCAACAGCGCCAATAGCAGAAGCGTTGGAGGCCTACTGGCAGACAAGGGGTGATAAAATGCCATTTGAAGTCCCCAGAGAAGCGGCGTGGTCTCCGTGGTCTAGTGTCTGGGCCCCCAGCCTACCGCTTCCACCTCAGCTTCCGCCTAGAGATTCAACTTCCTCAACGACAGCACATATGGCTCACGGGCGTGAGGGAGTCAGTTCACATGAACCCCCACACTCCATGGTTTGGCCAGGTCCTGTTCCTCCCTCTTCGTTTCAGTTCACGACACCACAATCAATTGCTAGGGGCGCTGTGGAGATGCTATTCTCCCTACGACCACAGACCCAGCCTACGGGCAGGCATCTCATCGCCAGAGTCCTGTCAAGGCCAAGTTTTGATTCTCTTTCCATGTCCACTTCGTCTCTGTTAATGAACGAGCAGGCAATTCAGTCAACAGGTATGTCCAGCTCCTCAGGTTCAGCGAGGAGCCGTGAATACCTCTATTCGTTGCGAGAATAGATGCTGCCGAAGAGATGCGGCAGGGTTCGGCGGGGATTACCTTCGGCATCATCTAGCTGTCTACAGCTGCCTGGGCAGCACTCGAACGAAGTTGCCTTTGGAGAATCATCCTCGCTTGAAAGCTGTTGGATGTTTTCTCCAGGTTTGCCTCCCTTATGCGTGGATCGCACAAGCATCACCTGAGGCATTTGTGTTGGTCCAGCCGCCCTGGGAGAGCCGGGCAAGTTCATAGCAGCGCCTATAGGCGCTAAGCAGCTTAAAATCCTTTGGATGATTGCATAATTGTGAGTCGGTGGCAGGCTGTTTGTCACTTCTTGCCTGATGGAGCTTCAAATGACTACTTTCCCGTGGAAAAGCACGGGGCACTGTGCTGTCTGGAATAAGGTTTTTTCGTCATTTTCTGGCTTCTCTTTGCGGGTGGACCTGCGTAGGCCCGTCATACAGTATAGAAGGCACAGAGCGTTTTTTCCAGCGTAGAAGGAAGCATATAGGGCATCGCCAGTTTCTCAGATACAGGATGGCGGGTTGGGGGCACCCATTCACTGGGGCAAGGAGTGGCGTCTGTAGTGTATAGCTTTCTAGAACTGCTTGGCCAGGACTCGGACGAAGGCGCCCTTGGAGAGTTACCCTGCCCCACCGGTGACTGCGGCATTGGCTGACGAGGGGCGTGCTGCTTTCATATGTCTGTCCATCTCTTACTTGAGAGTTGTTGCAGAGACGGTTAGTCGTAGTACGCGATGAAGACGCCATTGTTATTCGCCACGGCATTTCCACATATTCACAGGCTTGTGTGTACAGGTGGGTTTGGTTCGTCGCAAATGTATATCTCGAGCCCACTGTGCATAGGTGCGAGCATATCGAATATTTCATTGTGGTCGAATTTCCCTGCATAGATGTGGGTTTTCGGCCCTTGAGTGCACAGCAGCAGGAGTTGGAACGGTGAGTACTGGAGCCCGTGCAGGGAGAATCCCCGTCGTGGCAGCACTAGATCGAGCACGCGCGGAACAGCCGTGGCCAAAAAAGGCACATCGCACCCAAACCCCTCTTTGATGCACTCTCTAAAGCTGCGGAGAACTGTTAAACACTCTATAGTGGACATCTGTCTGCACGCAAGTTGAAATTTGCAGCCCAACTACTCAGACCATGCTACACCGGCTACGCCGTAGCTGCAGCCCGCCCTCTTCCAAACGAACAGAACGGAAACCACGAAAGGACGCAAATTTCTGCAAAGACTTACAAAGCATATTTATGGTGTGTGGAGCGAATCGGAAGGGGGATTGCATGGGCAGAGTACGAACAAGAGTCTCCACCGAAGCCTGCTGCCCGCCACGAACTCGAGTAGGTGAATGCTTGTGGAAGTTCTAGGGGGGATTGAAAGCGTTCACAATTGCCTAGAAATTGGGCTAATCGATGTTTGCTGATCTGTTAAAGAAATCTGTTAAAGAAGGACCGGTTGTTTGAATCCATGCACTGGTGCCGTAAAAGCTGTCGACGTGCACGGCACAAGCCTAGGGCGAGGATCGACGGCCAGCGCCACTGCAGGGACAATGCAAATCTTACAAGTGCGCGGGCAATTTCTTCCTTGTGAAGGTTTATGGGGAGCTCACGTTTCTTTTTCCGGTTTCGGGGTGGATTAGCATGTGCGTTCTTAATATATTTTTCCGTTTTATACTAGCAAAATCGGAAAACCAGCTGAGGCAAGGAATCACTGCGAAGCGGTTATGCCTGAGCAAACGGAGATAGCCTCTTCAATTCCTTTTGGAGCTGCGCCAGTTGGTAGCACGGACGGCGATCCTTTGCCACGGGGCAGTAGAGATGAAGCGCTGGAAGAATGGGGAACTCAGGCAAATGCCTCTGCAGTTCACCCCGTAGCCAAGCGCCCATTCGGGCGGCTCAACTGGAATTTACAACTGACACCCCTGCTCCTCGTGGCTGCCCTGACTGTGGCATTTGTTCTTCTCCGTTGCTACCGTCAGCTCACTGTTCTAAACAGCCCTCGGAAAGGACCTCTGAGGTCGCTAGCTGAAGAGGAAGGTTCAGGGCGCGAGACGCTGTGCCAGAAAGCCGACTTGGCAAGTTTTCAGTCACCGGCAGGTGCCAGTGGTGACAATGAAGCTGCGCTGCAACGACGATGTGAAGAAGTATTGCTAAGACTGACAAAAGTGACGAAAGATTGCGCATCTGTTGCTGTTTTGATGCCGCCGGACTACTCGTTCACGGTAGTATATCTTTTCCTAGGAGCATGCATTCAAGAAGCTAGCGCCTTGTCTGAGTTGTTGAGAGGAAATTTGGATCAACGAAAGGTGGAGGTCCTTGAAGGAGCTAGAGATGCAGCAAAGTATGTGTTTCGCCTATGTGGGCAACTGGTGGGACCGGGCAAGAGAACTCATGCATATCACCTCATCAAATATGCTGAAGAACTACGGGATACCCCCCCAGAAAGTCCTCTGCTGCCGACTGCAGTGCGTATACAGATTATAAAAGACCTTCTGATGCTCCAGGAAACTGCTCTGGAACTTCTGGAAAAACTGCTTTCATCCGTGTTCACTTCGTCTCAACCAATTGACCGTCTTTCCACGGAAGCCGCACATGAGATTGTCGAAGAATTGAAACGTATCGTCTACACTCGGCGTCAGCAGTTGTTCACGAGCAAGCATTTGAGCCACACTCTGCGATGCCTTGAGGCGAAACGTACACGAGGAAGGTTAATGCCTGGGCTGCATAACGGGAACCAAGATGAACCGCGCAGGCGGCCTCTCGACGAGCAACTTGACGACCTAAAGCACGGTAGACGTTGGGTTAAAACGCCTCTGCAGACACAAGGTGAAACAAAAGGTGCTTTTGAAGATACCCCCCCAAAAAACGGGGGATGCCCACCACAGCAATGCCAGCCCCAAGGCAAGGGAATGAATACTCGTTCAGGCTTCCATGCAAAGCGAAGGGGACCCCCACGGTCCGGGGTTCCTCCACGGTTTGCAAACATTGGCGGCGGAGCCGGATGGAGGCCGCCAGAAGAGCAGGCACAAGAGAGTGCGCTAACGACAGGAACAAGTCACACTCAGGAGGCAGAGCAGACGACGGGCAACCCCAGTCCTTCACATAAACGTCTAAGTTACCCAGGAACTCAGGACATGCCCAGCCAAGCCCTGGCCACCACCTCCCCTCCTGGTCCACCATTGCCGACTCTGGGAAAATCTCTTTCAGCATTGTCGTTAAGCTCCCCGCCAAGCCAGGATGGTCACCCCTCTTATGGCCTTTTAACTTCTTCTGTGGCCACGAGCCCACAGCCACCTGAGCCAGCAGCAGAAGAAAAGTGGAAGGCACCAGGGTGGAGAGGGCATGGTGCAACGCGCAGTGCCGCCCCCACTCCAGAATCATGGTCTCCGTGGTCTAACTCCTGGGCCCCCAACGTACTGTTTTGGCCTCAGCTTACCACTTCAGGTTCAACTTCCGCAACGACAGCATCTGTTGGTCACAGCCAAGAGGGAGTTAGCTCATCTCAGACCTCTCAACAACGTCTGCCTGACCCTCACTGAAGGTTGTCTCCTCTTCTTCCTCCTCCATCTTCGACTCGATTTACAACTCCACAGGCGCCTTCAACGGAAGCTCCTGAGATGCCATCCTCCCTACGATCAACAGCACTACCCCCGGACGAGCACCGCATACTCCAGCTAATTTCAATGTTAGGCATTGATGCTCCTTTTTTATCCACTTCGTCGACGCCAACGAAGGCGCAG